ATTGATAGTATATAATAATATACAAAAAAAAAAAAAAAAAAAAAAAAAAAAAAAAAAAAAATTGTGCAAAGTAGGAAATATATCATAATTATCATTGAATTACTTGCCAATACAGATAGTCAACAACTTAAACTGTTTTTAGAGTAAATTACAGTTTTGGTCCATGTGTTATACACCTTTCTACATGCATGATCATAGTTTTGGAAAATTGATACAATTGATACTCATGGTTGAAAAATCCATCACATTTAATCGATAGTATATAATAACATACCAAAAGAAGAATAGTGCAAAGTAGGAAATATGTCATAATTATCATTGAATTACTTACCAATATAGATAGTCGACAGCTTAAATTGTTTTTAGAGCAAATTACAATTTTGGTCCATGTATTATACACCTTTCTACATGTATGGTCATAGTTTTGGAAGTTTGACTATAAACAATACTCTGATACCAATCTGTCACACCCCCAAACCAGAACGGCGGAAACATCTGGGGTGGATGGCTTCATGTTCAGTATCATAACAAATGAATAATAGTGATCAAAGCCTTATAACCATCATATTGATAATTAAGTAGTTTACATTGTACACAAAACATTGTTTACTTGATATTAAATACATATGTCAAAAGTAAATAACGTGACGAGACGACGCCCCATCCTCAAAACCCCTTTTGGTTACCTGTTTACTGATTTCCTGAGAATACAAGTGGTTTTGAAAAAGTGTCAACAATTAAGTTGGTGAGTTCATAAGAGTTTTGTATAAGAAGGATGTGTAACTTTTCCTGGTAAAAATGATAGAGTGTACTTTCATAAAATCTAATATTTTCTTTAAAAATGAGCAGTAAGGGGTCGTTTGATAGTTGCTGATTGGGTTAGAGCTGGCTGGGTTAGAAGCTGACTGAGTTAGAAATGTTGATTGAGTCCACATCTGACTGAGTTTATGCTGTTTGATTATTTATCCGACTGATTGTGCTGAATGAAAAAAATGACCATATTACCCTTGTGTTGTCCCTTGTGCTGGATAAAATAATTATAAAAATACAAAATATCACATAAAAACAAAATTAAACATACATCATTTAAAATCCAAATACAAAGTGTAATACAAAATCCAAATATAAATTGTCATACATAATAAAAAAAAAGTACATCATTTAACGTGAACCATTTGAAAGTAACTGATTAGCAATCTGGTCACGCAAAGTAGTCATATAGTCAACTGCTTCTGAACCCCATTCTATGCCTTGTATGTTTTGGCCCTCACTTCCTCCACCTTCCACGTCAGGAATAACCATAGTGTTTTGTTCAAAGTTCGTAAATAATTCATCTTCGATATTGTATTTCCTTATAAAATTATGGACCGCAACACAAGTAGTGACTATGTCTTTTTGCACTGAAAAAGGATAAGGAGCCATTTGTTTTAAAATTGGAAATCTCGCCTTCAATACACCATAAGCACGTTCAATGATATTTCTAAGTTGTGCATGAGCATGATTGAACCTTTCTTCCTTAGTTAAAGCTTTGTTTCTTCGAAAATCGGCTAACCAATACCTAGTATTGCGGTAGGGAGCCATAAATCCACGGGTGTTGGTGTATGCAGCATCACAAAGGTAATACTTATCTGTAGATGATTGAAAAACTTATTATATAAATAATACAGATAATAAATCTTATAGAAAAATTACAAACCCGGTGGAGGGAATGGAAATCCCGAAGTCGGATTAAATGCAACTTCTTTCAAAACTTTAGAATCATGTGCTATGCCCTCCCATCCAGCCCATACAATGGTGAATATCATATCAAAATCACATATTCCTATTACATTTTGATAACATTCACATTTTCCTCTTCCCCTATAACGAGTTTGTTGATCAAAGGGCACAACTGCATGTACAAGCGTTCCATCTAATGCACCTATTGCTCCAGGAAATATATTTATTAGTCGTCTATGTCGTTCTGAGGTATTTCTTGTTGGATTAGATGATGTTGGTACTATAATTTCTCTTGCAAAACACATCATTGCATGCAGGACCTCATGAAAACATTGATGAATTGTTTGTGTTGAGTGGTGAAATCTTCCTTTAACTGCTCGAAACCGTTCATTATGTCCTATAACATGTAAAAATATAGCTATCTTCTCTTCAACACTTATTGTCCTACTACGTTGCAACCAATTTCTTTGTGTAAAATGATTGCATAATAATACAAATGCATCCTGTGAAAGACGCATCATATCGTAACATTGTATAGGATCTCCGTGTATCAAATTTTGTGTGTATGTATGCCCATTTTCTACCGGTTCGCTAGCGCTTATTCTTTTAGTTATTCGTTGCCTTTTTCGGACCAACATCAACCAATACCATGAGAATACAAGGAAATATAAAAATTGACCTTGTTTATCCATATATGACCTGTAAAATGTTAAACACAAATTATATAAAAATCAATAACATAACAATCAATAACATAACAAACCATAACATATAAATGCAAAACACTTAACATTCCATAAAATATAAATCCAACAACAAAAATCCGTAACACATAAAAACCTAATAAAAAAAATCCTTAACACATAACAACTCTAAACATAAAAATCCATCACATGAACCATAATATATACTAAAAGTCAAACAATGAACCATAATATACTAAAGTCAAACAATTAATCCAAACTTTTTTCCCGCATTTGTTACCCACGACTCACAAGTAGACAAGTTGAGGCGTAACCAAATTTTCCTATTACCTGCACTTTCAGCAAATAACATTAGAGCAGTTGTGTATTTTGGATCATATTCTCCCCACTCCAACCTTGTCAACTTCGCCATACAATCATCCATCTCCTTGTCAAGATTATTTTCTTGCGTGAATGTCTGTGCAGCCTTGATAATTTCTTTGCCAACTTCTTTCAACTCATCATCAAGTGTGGTTTCTTTGGGACCATTTCGTTTCCTCCCCCCCTTGTTTTTTGTCCGTCCAGAGGATTCTTCACTTGCAGGTGAAGCACTAGTAGGTTTGGGTACTGTTAAGGTTGGGGTATCAATATGAGGTGTTGGCTCCTCCATCTCAGTATCCTCAAAATCATGTGTACTAAACACTTCAGAAGGATGAGGTTGTGTCGAAGATGGACCCCAACTGTGAACGTCGGTCGAGGTCACCCCATCAAACAGTTGGATACAAAGATCAGGGCAAGGTAAGAGTGCATTTATCAGCTTATCTACATACATGTTCAGCTGTTTGGAAAATTAATAATTATTATCAAACTAGTAAAAAAATAATCCAGTTTAATATATATATATATATATATATATATATATATATATATATATATATATATATATATATATACCTTGGCCTCTGCTTCCCATTCTTCATCAGTCATGTTGAAAGAGTTCGTTAAAGGATTATAAAGATTTCCAGTTTTATTTTTCAGTTTCAACCACACTGTATACTTTGCTTTTAAGTAGTCGTATCGGTTTTTCATTTGTTTTCTTTCGACAACAAAATTATGCTCACTTTTTAATTTCTCCGTGACTACAATCCACGAGCTTCCTTTTAGGCCACTACCCTCCCGGCCATTAGTGGTTAATTCATGTATACATGCCTCCAAAAAAGTTTTGTCCACACTCTCTAACTTCCAACTAACTCTAGTTCTTTTATTTGTCATGTCTATATATAGAATAAAAAAACACACACACACACATGTACAACATAAGTCAAGACATTACCCCTTCACATTTAAGCTTTC